TCGGGGTTGCCGATCAGCTTGTCCACCATAGGAGGGTACACCTCTTAGCGCCCGAGTCTCGCAGCCTCTGAAGTCGTCACCGCAATCACAGAGCGATGGAACTGAAAAATGCGCCTCACGGAAAGGCCGTGTGTACGCCCTTGGCCCAACCGTGCGCATGCGTAGTGAAAGCTAGATGGGAGACAAAGGGTTGCGCCTCAGTCGAAAATAGTCCCTTCAATTCGTGACAATCGCAGGCTCCTTCTGGCCCGGCGTCAGACTCTCTGGCGTGTGACTGAACCTGGAAAAAGCGACAGATTCGGAAAAAAAGAAAAGGAAACAAGAAAAAAGGAAAAAAGAAAGAAGTAAAAAGAAAAAGAAAAAAGAATAAGGAAAAAAGAAAAAAGACAAAAGAAGAAAAGAGGAAAGAAGCAGGAAGAAGAAAAGACTGCCTGCTGAAAAGACGTTTCTGCGACCAGCTCAGGTCGTCCGTTGGCTCGCATTGGCTTTCTTGTGAAGTCCCTTCCGGAGAGCACTGAAAAGTTTTTTTTTTTGAGAAGGAACGACAAGACTCAAAAAAACAAACAAAAGATGAGAGGAGTCGAAAAAAAGGAAAAAAATAGAGAAAACTCTGAAAAAGAAAAAAGAGAAAAGAAAAAAGCATGCTCCTAATATGCAGCACATCTCAGCAATACCATGGGTTGGAGTAGCGGAATTCTTCTCATCATCTCATCCCATAACTGTTGGTTTGGCAACCGGTGGTTGCCTTTTATGAGTTCTTGCTGGGATTGCATAATGTATGGTTATTGAGGGAGGTTGGACCCAAAAAAATCAACAATCAATCTGCTCGTCTCTTCGTCCTTTTCTTCCCCTTTCTTCCTTTCTTAACTCTTAGCAGCTTTTTTCCTTCAGTCCGCTTATATCCTCTGTTGACCCCTGTGTGTGTGTGTGTGTGTGTGTGTGTGTGTGTGTGTGTGTGTGNCTGTGTGTGTGTGTGTGTGTGTGTGTGTGTGTGTGTGTGTGTGTGTGTGTGTGTGTGTGAGAGAGAGAGAGAGAGAGAGAGAGAGAGAGAGAGAGAGAGAGCATCACTGAACAACAGGAGCACCGTTGTTCCACAGCGAGTGTTTCAGTGCCCCTGCTGTGAAATGCAATCAACTGTTCACGAACTGGTGCCGGAATGCGCCAGATTCAGAACAGTGGCCGAACTGAAAAAGGGAGGTGGTCCCCAACTACGTTTGAAAGGACGAAGGAGTGAGCAGGCAAGAAAACCCCCTTGTAGTACTGATTTGGACACACCAATCTGACTGACTCTGACACACGAGTGATTCAATGCAATGGTTTGTGTGGGCCTCAGCCTCATTCCTGCGCCCACTGCTTCCTTTGTTTTCCTTTGAAGGACGAATCCGACAATGTGCCTGCTGACCCACTCCAAAGTGATACTGATCGGTCCCATGACAACCTCAACCCACACAGATCTCGTCTTGATTACCACCTGTCGCCCCGACAGAAACGCCAGCCGTGGGGACGGATGCCGCACCGCACTAAACTTCAGCCTTAGGACTGGAGACCTCTTCTGGGCCCTACAACGGGTCTGTACTTGTAGTCTGAATGACATTTGAAACCAAACTGCCCCGGACTCTCTCTCTCTCTCTCTCTCTCTCTCTCTCTCTCTCTCTCTCTCTCTCTCTCTCTCTCTCTCTCTCTCTCTCTCTCTCTCTCTCTACATTTGAAACCAAACTGCCCCAGACAATGTATTTCTGCTGACCCGGCAGCAAGTCTCAGACTGTTTCGTGCGGCTCTCGCATGGGTGACAGAGGTTTTCGTGAGTCTGAAATCCTCGTCAGGCCTACCCAGGGTTACGAACGGTGGACGCTGGACTGGAAGGGCCTGACCACGCGTTCCAATGTGAGGAAAAGTATTATCGCTGCCACGTGCCAACTCCGAGAGTTCAAGCTGTTTGAACGGGGTTGCACAGTGACTGCCTTGAGCTTCCGGTTTCCGCGGTTGTGTGTCCATCCCAAACTTCTTATCGTATTTGCCATTCCGAGGGTAGTGGTGGTAAATGAGCTTCGTGAGGTTTCACACACACACACACACACACGAGAGAGAGAGAGAGAGAGAGAGAGAGAGAGAGAGAGAGAGAGAGAGAGAGAGAGGCAGACTGTCACAGACAGACAGACAGCAAGAGTGCCCTGTGCTTGTATCCATTGACTCCAGGGCACGTGCCATATGGTGCAGGGACTCCCTCTCTCCCTCCATGTTGAGGGGGGGAAATGGAGGGGGGAGCATCAAATAATACGAGGGGGGAAAAAACAACCGCTGTGCCAAGTGCTGGGGAGTCATGGATGCAGCCTTGCCACATGGTGTCGGCCTCTCTCTCTCTCTCTCTCTCTCTCTCTCTCTCTCTCTGTGTCTCTCTCTCTCTCTCTTGCTTGTTTGCTTGCTTTCACTCGCTCTCGTTCTGTGTAGATGGATGGATGGAACCGGAGACGCTTCCCCAATATGACAGCCCCTGCTCATCGGGGGGTGTTGATGAAAATTATACTGTGGGCACATTAGGCAGGTAGACAGACAGTGAGCCGCAGAACTGGCAAATGTGAGGTGTAGAAGACGAGTGAAAAGAGCTATTAACTTCACGTGCATACCTAAAAGGACGGTGTCATATGCGTAAGTCATGCTTAACTCATGCTTTGTGCATACACCCCCCATCAGAATTGGTTTCTATTACTTTCTAAGTGTTTGTTCGGGGGGTTGTATTCGTGCCGACCTTCTGTGGGGGGGCGGGGACGAAACGGAGCGGGCGCGGGCGCATCTCTCGCATCTCGTCGGCTTTCACTACATGAGGATACCAAAAGTCTTCCATGTCTAACTGGTCAACCACAGCCTTGAGCCATCAGGAAAACGGCGGCAGAGGACGGCTGTAGTTGGCAGTGACATGCCATGGCGTCACCGGAATATGCATACGCCCCCCCCCCCCCCCCCCGATGCACACACCCTTCCGACCCCCCGCCCTCCCCCCCCCACACACACAGACAAAGAACAAATAAAGGAAATAAGAACTTAGATTGAAATGAATAAAATCATCGTAAATTGTAGGACGGAAGACCGTGACTACAATTGTACGGTCGATATCTGCATGTCCGCCGGAGTGGTCCTTCACAAATCGTGTCGAAGCAGGGCACGATTGTACGGTCGATGTAAATGGGCCTTGGTCCACTTGTCACAAATCCTTCACAATTGTACGGTTGATTTTTGCTGATTTTTGCTGATTTTTGCTGATTTTTGCTGAGCCAGCGCAAAGGGGTTGTTGGCAAAGCGGGTATTGGGTGACACTCTCATTTCCCTGCTACCAACAACTCCTTTGCGCTGGCTCAGCAAAAATCAGCGCGTGGAAAAGTTCAGTATCGGGAAAAATGCAAACATATTTTGGAGGCGCTGGTGGTTTAATGAAGTAACATTTTTCCTTCGGAGTCTGGAGCAGCAAGCCAGAACGATGATGCGGAAGTCCGGCGAGCTGCGGGGAGGGAAGAAGGGATTCGGAGTCTTTTACCTTCGCCGGTGTTTGCCTTTTTTTTTTTCTTTTTTCTTTTTTTTTTTTTGGTCTGCCATGAAGAGATTTGTGTTTCAACTTTCAATTCTTTTCCAGGAGGCTACTGGGGCTGCCCGGCCGTGCAGGCCAGGCCGGGGATCGGGTCAAGTCGCCCGGGGTGTCCGACTTTCATGCTTCTTTATTTTGTTGGGGGGGCCGGTGGGGGCTTTGCCACGCATCACAAGAGGAGCCCAAATCTGGGCTTGCCTGGCAGGGGGGTTGGAAGGGGGGCGCTATAAAATAAAATGGTTCTAAATGGGTCTAAAGGGGTTTTGAGGGGGGTGCCTTAGTCTGATTCTGTTAATATCTTTTTTAAAGTTTTTTTTATCTTTGATTCAGTAAGGAAATCCGATGTGCCTAGCACCACCATGGGTGTTAAAAAAAAAGAAAAAAAAAAAAAAAAAAAAGCCATGTATCTGGGCACAAGTTGGCTGCCTGGGCACCCGTAAAAACCGCCCTAGTTATTTTTACACTTTTCCGAAAGATGAACAGTGAAGCTGATGGACAAAAATGTTTGTTCGTGAAGAGTTTTTTGTCAATTATTCTCACCTCAAAAAGTGAGAACAACCAAGGGCATGCTCGCACTACCGGTAGGCTTTCCTGGATGGATGTGTACAAACACTTTTCTGACCTGGCCTGGATGCACCTGACTGCAATTCCGTCCACAGAGAAGCGGAAAAAGTCCTAGTGTGTCTGGACGTCAGGAACACAGTGCGGATTGTCCGGGTATGGAAGTCAAGGTCTCGTGCCCGGTCCAGATGTCCGGATCCGCCACCAACCCCAACCCCCCCAAACCCCCTCTCCAAAAAAAAAAAAAAAAAAACTCCAACAGTCCGACTTCAAAAAAAAATAAAAAAAATCTGAAAGAAAAGATATGTGTGGCTTTTGTGATGCAAATACAAATCTTTTGGCTGAGAGAGAGAGAGAGAGAGAGAGAGAGAGAGAGAGAGAGAGAGCAAGGGCTTGCTGTTGTGTGGCTTTTGTGATGACTTGACAGATGTGCGACAACCATCATTTGCTTTTGTGAACGTATTTCCTGTTCTCGCTGATTCTTGGTGTGTTTATCATATGCCGAAGTCTCTGGCAATAGCATTCGTATTGGGGAAAAAAAAAAAAAAAAAACGAAAAAGCTATTCGACGACAACATTTTATTATGCGATGTGGATGCAACCACACATCTGCACAGGGATCCAGGTGGACTGGGCCTCATTTGCTTGTGCCAGGCAGGTCCAGAAATCAGATGTCTGTTCGTTAGACTTATGTTAGCTGGGTTAAGCCACCCCCGTACGCACTGGTACTGGTGGTGGTGGTGGTTTTTCTTCTTTTTTTTTTTGCGCATGGCTGCGCACAGCATAGGCTTGACAACTTGTTTCTGTTCTTTTTCGTTTTCCTTGTTTTTTTTTTTTTTTGGTCGTGTTTGTCACACGTGCAGGGACATGGGAAAGACAACCATGTGCAGCAGTCGGCTTCAGGCGCCAAGGCATGGGAGCAGACTGGCAGCTCTTCACAGGTTGCTGTGTTAGCGACCACTCCCGAAGGTCGATCTGCTCGTTGGCCGTCAGCAGAACCTGCATCGCAGCGGCAACAGCCATCATCCGGTGCAATGTCCGTTGCGTTGCCTGCTCAAGTCTCTGGACCGAGGATTCCTTCTGGTGGTGGAATAGGTCCTGCAACGCTGGAACAAACGTTGGTAGAACAGATCCAACAGCTACTGCCAGGTCTCTGCCCGGTTCCGTTGTCGTCAGAGACGGATGACACACGGAGGCAGCAGCCATCACTTGGAGCGCTTCAGGGCGAATCTCACGCAATGGCTCTGGCACTAAGGGAGGAGCTCGTGGCTTTTGCGTCCAGGATGACGTTACCTGGACTGCAACAAGTGTTGCCACGGGCGAATGCCTCGCCGTCGACAGCAACGATACCATGTTCGTCGTCGCTTCCGCCTCTGGTTCAGCAACCCTCTACAAACAGCTCTGCAGACGCATCAACCCCTGTCCAAGGAGCAACTGGGCACCCTCCACCGCCACCTCCCCCACCACGAACTGGCATGCCCTTGCCTGTTGCGCAGCCGCAGCAAGCGAGGACGCCACCGCCACCTGCACCCTCAACTTCAAATTTCCAAGGTTTACTGCTCGCTCAGACCCCACCGCAGGGCGGACCCACGCCGCCTCCCAGTTCCGCCGCATCCCTTGCTAATATGAAAAACCTCCCGGGTGGGCCACCGGGTTTCACTGCACCCTTGATATCGGTGCCCTTCGCTGGCCTAGGACCTCACCAGAGTGGAGACGGCAAAACCCTTGCGTCTCCAGAAGCAGCAGCAAAGGGTACGTTAGGAACACTGCCACACGCTCCATCTCAAGGGGATCACAATACCGCACCCAGTGTGCTTGCAGCACCGGTGTTGCCCATTTTGGGGCTGCAGGGACCGTCTCCTCGCCTGGGACCTCTGCTGCCCACACCCACCCCATCCTCGTCGTCATTCAACCAGCCGAGAGTCCTGCTTACGCGCCCTCAGCTCCCCGTACAAGATGCCACAATCCGGCACGAGCAGTTGCGCCAGCCTCAGCTTCTGCAGGACCAAAAACCAAGCCTCGCGGTCCAAGGCGCAGGCCAACCAGGGGGGAGTATTCTCCTGGCAGGTCAGCAGAAGCTTGGAGTCGCCTCCGAGCAGCACACACGCTCAGCCCCAGTGCATGGTACCCCTGCACTCGTCACTGGAGATATGGCACCCCAGCGGATCATGCCTCCGCCGTTGCCTAGCAAAGAGCCTTCCCCTCTACAGGAAAGGTACCAACCATCAGCAAACCCTTCGCATACCGAGCATCACCCACCCCCACTCAAACAACCCCCGCCCCAAGAGTGCTTAGATTCTCAGCGACATGTTCACGGACAGTCACAGATAATACCCCCCATTGGCCAACCTGAGGCGCTACACACCTCTGATCAGCAGCAGAGGGGGCCATTTTCCGCAGGTGATCGTTTCCAGCCTCCTCTTGCTCCGGATCAACGAACACCATTGCCGCTGCAACAGAATATCGCCCCGCCACCTTTGCACCCGCCTTCGCAAAGTCAACAGCCTCTGCCTCCGAACCATGCTGAACACCGAGTCCCCCAACCCCATGCCATGTCTGATCAGCACTGGCCTGGGGGCAACCAGCATGTTTGGAGGCCACCACCTATGCCGCCTCAGATGGGCCCGCCTGGTCCCTTACCTACTCAACATATGCAGCTCAGGGAGGACCAGCAGCATGTATCACCACCTGTGCATGATCCAGCTGGCCCTGTAGTAGGGCAGAGTCAACAGTCAGCACCAAGTGTGGTACAGCCTCAGGTCCAGCTGTTGGTTCAGGACCATCGGCACCTTCTCCACCCACACGCTGACTTGCAACACAACGTTCCTACCCAAGAACAAGCGCTGCACAACTCCGTTCATAGCCTTGGGCCCCGCTCAGCACCACAGGGCATGATGATCCGCAAGGGCCCCGATGCACAACAGCCAGGTGGGCTTGGCCCACCTATGGCAAGGTGCGAGGAGGGAATGCCCCATGCCGTGCAACAGCCTCCTCCACTCGCTTCTCATACTCAAGGCGGGATGCAACATGCCACCGCCGCCACTGGCCCACGGCTTCCTCCAGGACCGACCCCACCAGGAGGCCAAATTATGATTGGTGGAAAGGGCCCAGAAGTGCAGCAGCCGGCTGGCATGAGTATGTCGATATTAAGGGGTGGAGAAAAGGTGATGACCCATGGGAGGCAACCTCCTCCGCCGTCGCATTTGTCCCATTCACAAATGGCTCAGTGGTCAGGCCCTTCGCTTCCCGTTCATATCCCGCACTCACTGAGGCCAGAGGTCCAGGGCATGTCCTCCGCTCCTCTCGGGAGCCCGCATGGCACAGACTTGCCCTCGCAAATGGGAAGAGCCGAGACGTTGGGTAGAGCCCCCCCGCCCTTCCATGGCCATTTATATCCTCCTGGTCCAAGCAACCAGCCAGTAGTGAAATCGCCAATGGGACCGGGACCGGGACCGGGACTGGGACCTGGGCCAGGGTCTGGGTCTGGCATGCAGGAGAATGGTGGCCCACAAAAGTGGGCAGCGGCTCCGAGGATGGCACCCCTCATGCAAGGGCGATGGGAACCGAATCACCCCAGCGGAGGGTTTTTTCATCAACTAGATACAACTGGTATTCGTCCACATAGCGGGGGTGGGCAAGGAGAGGGTTGGGGAGGAGGCGACAGAGTGACGCCGCCCCCAGGCAGAGGGCCAGTAGACGGGGGAGAGGGCTTCATCAGCGAATTCCACCCTCGCATGCTTCAGCCGGGAGCATCGCAGGGTCATGTACAGTTTATGGGCAGTGGAGTCTACGGCGGTGGCTTTTCTCAAGACTCGGGCAGACCCTGGGGTGGTCCAGATATGCAGCAGAACGCTGGTTTCCAAGGTGGTGCTGGCGAGGGTTATCGCCCACCGTTGCAACGGCCACCTTTCTCTCCTCAAACCCCACACAATTCCGGGTTATGGTGATAAAAATTGGGCCAAATGTTTTCGTAGGCGGCCTGACACCATCGCAGAGGGATTCATGCGTCAAGTCTCTGCGTCATTTATTAGATTTCGCGCTGTGATTTTTAGGACGGAATTGGGTTTTGAATCGGAACAGTTCCTTGTTTTCTCAGCCGAGGCTTCTTCTTCTGCTCCAACTAGTGTTTCTGCGAATATCGTCACTCTGGGAGGATCTGCTTACATGCTGTTTGTGGAGTGGTGGCGGCGTTCTGGTAGTACTCGGGTGGATAGTGAAATTCAGTTCCACCATTCTTTCTTTCACCACATTCTCTAATCAAGTTTGATGTATAGTTGAGATATACACAAGCAGCTCACAGTGATGCTCCTCCTGGCAAATCTGTTAAGGGTCCAAAAATCTTCTGTCGCGGCCATGTGTTTTGTGTGACTTGAGTTATTGTGTTAATGTGTGTGTGTGTGTGTGTGCTGTCTCTTATACACATCTAGATGTGTATAAGAGACAGATCCAACACAGTCATGCTGAGGGTCGGTTGTGGTTTGGACAAAATGGTAGTTCTTGAGTGTGCCTATGAGCAGAAACCCTGCCGCTGGGGACCGCAGGTGGTCCTATGGTCGACCAGTTTGGGCCCTTAATGCCGAGTTTTGACAGGATTTGAACCCTTCAGCTTTTGATCATTAAAATGAGTGTATGATTAGTTAGCTCTAATGTAGCTGCAATCGGGGGCCATGCGATCTCTCCAGAGGTTGAAGACCAGAGCAGCAATCAGGGTCTCGGTCCCGGTCTCGGTCCCGGTCCCGGTCAGAAGACTCCGAACTGAGTTGGAAGACCAGAATAGCAATCAGGGTCCCGGTCCCCCAACTGGAATATGAAGAATAACTTAACCAGGTGGCTAGGGCGCGGTTGTATACGCCCCGGGCCAGCGTGTAGAGATACTCCTCCATTCTTCCGAAGTTGCCCTGTCTGAACTGGTAGAGAGTTCTATCAGCTCTCCCAGTGTTTTTTTTTTTTTTTTTTTTTTTTTTTAATCACCATTACCGGCACCATTGCCCGGCCTCGGAAGCTCTCCCATTTTGTTTGTAGCATCCTAATAAGATGTTTCATAACGCGCACTGGTCGTTAATTTTCATGTTTGGAAATTGGAGTGGAAATTGGAATGGGTTTCAACCCTGGACCTTCTGATCAATAAACCCAGATCTGACGCCAGCTTTGTAGCGATTTCGGTCAATGTGATAACATGGGTTCAAGTCCTGTTATTCGCCTCTTGCATCAAGTTAAAACTCTTGCGAGCCTAAATGAAACCAGCCAAAGCCGGCGTCAAGACAATTATTCATGGACTGAAGTTAATAATAAGTCTATAAATAGTATAAATTAATTGATTTAAAAAAAAANGAGAGAGAGAGAGAGAGAGAGAGAGAGAGAGAGAGAGGTTGGAATGTGGTTCACACATGCAGGATATGAGAGGAAGGGAGGAAGATTGGGGCAAGACAGAGGGGGATAAGGATCACAGAGGAGCACAAGGGAATCCAATAGGACAGCAGGTGTGGGTGATGGGTACGTACCTTGGCGAATGAATGTGCATGGCAATTCAGGTCTAGGTGCCTATGGAGTTGGTTTCCAATGAGATAGATTGAGGTTTGTAACATGCTTGGCGACTTTGGGCTAATCACCCGACCTTGTCTTCTGTATTTCATGAGTCCATTATATACCTTGAAATAAGGTCCAAATTTCCAAAAGCAATTCATACTGAAAATAGGTTATGCATGTGAGATTTGGGAAAGAGGGGGGCCAGAGGGGGTGGAGGTTGAACAAGGGAAGGGAGGGAGAGGGGGGGAGGGGTTTGTACAAAGGTGTGGGGAAGAAAAGAGTGTGTTGGGGGGGGGGGGCTGGGCACACGAGGCAGCTTTTCATTATCAGTCTGGCTGTTGAGATGGCAATGAGGTGTCCATTTGGCGGCTTCACATGCATTTGCACATCCTTGTCTTTGCGCCTTCGTACGGTGGAGATGGGGTGAACAGGGCTTTCGGAAGGGAAAATTGATAACCCCCCGCCACACACACGCACACCCAAAAAAAAAAAAAAAAACCTACGTAGAAAATAGTAAAAAATTAAAAATACGCACTCGAATCTGGTTCATGATCGCGAGCTTGATCTTTTTGTAATGTTTTTTTCTCTCCACAACACCCCAGCTGTTTAAATTTCTCTCTCTTTTTTTTTTTTTTTTTTTTTTTTTTTTTTTTTTTTTTTTTTTTTTTTTGAATTAATCTCTTTTGTGAACAGGAATTACATTTTTACTTTTATAAGTTTTTTTTTAAGTTTTTTTAATTTCCCTTCAGAACTACGTTTGGGTGCTGTATTGGAGTGGAGATGTTTTGCATCACGTGTTCCATCAAAATCTAGACATTAAAAGAATAATAAAACTGAAATAAAAATCTAGACCTTAAAAAGAAGAAGAAGAAGAAGAAGAAGAAGAAGAAGAAGAGGAAAGAAGGTGGTCCTTTGGGACATCCGTTAAAATTGGAACGAGACAGAGAATGAAGATTAGCGTGGTCACACAAGGATGCCCCGCATAAATCGAGAAATGATCCGATGTTATATTTCAAAAAAAAAAAAAGAAAAAAAAAAAAGGTGTTCATGCTGGATGGACAGTGGACAATGCCTGCCGGTCTCATACCTATCCCATTCATGTTGAAGTTGGGTAATACTAGCCTTGGGCACTGGGTCCGGTTTAAAAAAAAAAAAAAAAAAAAAAAAAAAAAAAAAAAAGGTTCTGTTTGCAGTAAGTGACTATGTGTATTATATTACCACAAACTGGTGGGCGTCTGTCCTCGTCTCGTCTGGCAGTAGTGTGTTGCTGCAGGGGTACGCGTGAAATCGCAGAGTCTACAGTCTGAAACCGGAGCCGCTTTTAACCAGAGGGCGTCTGTCCTCGTCTTGCAGTAGTGTGTTGCTGCAGGGATAAGGGTGAAATCACAGAGTCTACAGTCTGAAACTGGAGCTGCGTTTAACCAGAGGGCGGCTGTCCTCGTCTCGTCTGGCAGTAGTGTGTTGCTGCAGGGGTACGTGTGAAATCGCAGAGTCTACAGTCTGAAACCGGAGCCGCTTGTAACCAGAGTCTATGGTGTGAACGGTCACTCTCGTCTAGTCGTGGTCAGAGATGTTTTCGGCGGCAGGCATACCACTGGCTTCTGATTCCGAATATTCTGGGAAGAATCCTCAGCAGCAGCAGTGAGTGACGATGCTGTCTCATGTTTGCCCTTAAAGAAAGCTTTTCTTACACATATGACCCTGAGGTACGACTATTGTCGCCGTCAGCGTAGAATTTCTATCTGTTTCTCCATAGGTCCGACTATTGTCGTTGCGGACAACGTAGACTCTCTTATCTGTTTCTCCATCGGTGTGAGCTAACTCGTGCCGCAGCGCCTTATTTTCAGTCTCTGGAGATTACAGTCACAGATGAAGAGCCCCTTCATTGCCAGGCTAGTCGGTGGACTCCAGCTGTGTTAAACCACCAGTACTTGGCCCAGCTATCGGCGGCGGAAAAAAAAAAAAAAAGAGTAGAAACGTTTCTAGTGGGATGAAATTGGGCGCTCCTGTAGTAGCCCGTACGTTTCCTAACTCGTGGCGCCGCGTTAACGGGCACTACTCGAGGAAGTGTACTGGTGGTTTAAAGCAGAGCATTTACGCAATTGGCTTGGAAGAAGTGGCTGTGCTATAAATGGACACGAATGGTGGCAATGCCCCTCCCCCACTCTTCCTCCGAGCGTGTTGTATAGACAGTGCTACTGCTATTGGAACGCAAAGACAGGCTCGTAAGCAGTAGCAGTACCTCCCACTCTTCGTTCGAGGGTGTAATATACGTTCGAGGGTGTAATATAGACCGTGCTACTGCTTTTGGAACGCCGCAAAGACAGGCTCACAAGCAGTAGCAGCGGCCGGTCAAATACAAAGACTTTACTAGGGGTGGCTGCTCTCATATATTATCCTCCCCCCCCCCAACTCCTCTTTTTTTTTTTTTTTTTTTTTTTTT